AAAAATCTGATTTATTACTTGTAAACATGGTCAAACACTGCCCTGAATCATCAACACGTTGTTATTTTTGATCGACGGTGAGTAAACGCGGCACCCACTTTGAAAAGAGCTTTCTCATGGTCAAATGTACATACATAATTGTAAACACACTGCCTTTTGATATCTTTACGGTCTCAGCTATCTCATGTAATTTCAATTAACGATCAGATATCACCAATTTCTGGACTTTTTTGATGTTTTGTGGAGTAACCACCTCAGTTGGACGACCAGAACGTTCACCATCATCGGTGTCTGTACGACCACGTTTAAATTCTGCAAACCAACAACAAATAATTTTTTTCGATGGAGCAGAGTCCGAATAACACTTGAAACCATTGCTGAGCTTGTACAGTATTTTTTTCATCAAGAAGCAATGATAAATTAACTTTAAATTGTTTTGAATCCATTGTTTTGAAAATAACAAAAGTAGCTTCACTTAAACGGCTGTCACTTTTTCCTGACTAATCGTAGTGTCATGAAATTTTACACATAGTCTTTTGAAGGTTGGTACTTCATAAAAGTCATATAGATTTGACAATGGCAGCGTCATCTGTGTGTCAGTCGTACGACTTATTGACTGATGTATTAAAGTCCTCTCTCTACGAATAAAAATCACTCTCTACAAGTCTCTTATCATCGCTGCCCTACTGTATAGTGCAGAAGCTTGGGTAATTAACAACAGTTATGAGAAAGCGTTAGGAGCATTCAAGATAAATATTCTTCAGAAGATCTGTGGTCCGTTATGCATTGGCAACGAGTATCGAGTAAAAATACGACTTTCGCTGGTTTGGTTATGTCGTGCGAATGGAAGAAAGTGCTCTGGCCAGAAAGGTGTTTGATTCGGTACTCGTAAGTGAAAAACACGGTAGAGGACTTCTACAAATTTGGTGAAAGGAGCAAGTGACCAGGATTGGAAGGCGCTCGGTACTACACGTAGCAGCAGGAAACCACTGATTGGGCTGTGTCACTACAATGAATGTCTACCATATCCTAAATTTAAAAATCTTTATGTGCGGGTTCGTTGAATAAGAACACAACATTACACGAAAAAATTGACCTCAATATAACAGCAGAGTTTATAGCAACGCTGCGAAACTGTATCTCTGTTTTGTTCAAATTAGAGAACAAAGAAAGAGTACTGAAATAACCTTTACATAACACGTCGTTCAATAATGTGTGTGACTGACACATAGATGGCGGCACTAATATTAAATAAATATTTTTTTTCGAAAGTGGCAACCTTTTTAAGCTTACTGTCAAAATCATATGTTAATTCGATCATTTGTTTACAAGTTACAGCGCTTTAAGTGACGCTACTTTTGAGTTTTCAATAAAAAAATTAATTCAAAGCAATTCCGTGTGCTGATTTATCATTGTTTTTTAATGAAAAAAATACTGATCAATGCCAGGAATGGCTTAAAAAACATTATTCGGACTCTGCTCCATCAAAAAGAAGCATTTGTTATTGGTATGCCGAACTCAAACATGGTCGTACAGACACCGATGACATTCCATCTACTGGACGGCCAAATGACGCTGTTATTCCGGAAAACGTTGAAAAACACTGAAAATCATTATGTCCGACCGTAAAGTGAAAATAAGGGAGATTGCTGACATTCTATAGATAACATATCAGCAGGCAGTGTACACACCATAATACACGAACATTTGGGTATAAAAAAGATGTTTTCCAAATGGGTGCCGCGTTTGCTCACACCGGAGCAAATACAACAACGAATCAATGATTCAAAGAGCTGTTTGGACATGTTTACGCGCAATAAGTCGTAGTTTTTGCGTCGGTACATCACGATGGATGAAACATGGATCCACCATTTCACTCCAGAGTCAAATCGGCAGTCTGCTGAGTGGCATGCAGCCGCCCAAAGCGACCAAAGACGCAGCAGTTGGTTGGCAAGGTTATGGCGTCTGTATTTTGGGATGCGCATGGAATAATATTCATCGACTATCTCCAGAAGGAGAAGACCATCAACAGCGACGATTATATAGCGTTATTGGAGCGTTTGAAAGACGAAATCGCAAAGAAACGGCCTCATATGGCGAAGAAAACAGTTTTGTTCCACCAAGACAATGCACCGTGTCACAAGTCGATGAAAACGATGGCAAAATTGAACGAATTGAGCTACAAATTGCTGCCGCACCCACCGTATTCTTCAGATCTGGCCGCCAGCGACTACTGGCTCTTCGCAGACCTCAAAAAGATGCTCCGTGGTAAGAGATTTAGCTCAAATGATGAAGTAATCGCCGAAACTAACGCCTATTTTGAAGGCAAAAAAAAATCGTTTTACAAAGGCGGTATCGAAAGATTGCAAAAGCGTTGGAATGATTGTATCTCCCTAAAAGGGGACTATGTTGATGAATAAAAACGAATTTTGGCAAAAAAATGTGTTTTAATTAGTTAGTCACACACATTTTTGAACGACGTGTTATATCCCGAAAATATCCCAATTGGAGTTTTCAAAGTTTCTATAAGTTTTGTTGTTAGCTTGTTATGAAAGTATTATTAGAGCTGTTGTGTATTTTATTCAAAGGAGTGGTTTTACTAATTCAATACGTCAGCATTCTCCTTAGCAAATTTCTTATATCCACGTTTTTGCTTTTACAACTCAAACACGTTTTCACGTTTTTACTTGCATGTCTTTTATACTTCAGTGGTCCTTTTATTTTATTTTTTCACTATACTTACGACACTGTTTTAGTAATAACGAACAAGTACTAGTTCGTTAATGAAGCTAATATCCGATAAGTATGTACAGTTAGTCATTACTTTAGTCGGTGATCTGGTAGGTTGGAAAGCCACAAAGAGTGGTTGAGTGGTTCAATCACTTAATACAAGACGCATCCCCAATGAGAATGTAGGATATATCCAGAAGTGAGCAGCGGAGGATAAATAAAGTGAGGTGATAGGTAGAGGTTAATTATATGTATGCCATTTGAATTCCAGCCAAGGCAAAATTACTATATCAAAACCAAAGCTATTTACGAATAGATAAAAGACTACTTGTCTACTTTAAAATTCTATTTTCATTAAGCTCTATACAAAATAGCTTAATTCTTAAGATCATGTTTCGTTGTAAATTTTAAAATAATTTACACTAACAAAGAGTAATCCTGTTATCTAGCTTAAAGTTATGAATGCATATCAAAATAATGAATACCCTCTGTATACCCGACTATATTCATATAATTTGTATTTATATTATTTGTCGTATTTATTTATTCCTGTTAATAAATTTTGATGGCAATTAGGTGACAAAATAGGATTATTTCTTATATACTAAATATTATCTATATAAATTAAGTAAACAAAAGGATTTCTACAAAGAGTTATAACAAGAACACTAAATACAAGAGGACTTTTCAACTCAGGCGATTTTATTTCTACACACATTAGGCCATTCAAGAGGAACGCGGAGATTTTGATTTCTCTCTATAGTTCATATTTTTATTTACATAGTGCTACATGTGCAAATGAAGCATTAATCAATGCTCGAGGCTTCCAATAACAATTTGCCTTAGTTAACTAACACAATAGACAAAAAACATTACACATCTATTCTTCATTGTTATTGCACACTTACTAAATGATTTCGTATGCATGAGTAGGTGAGGCAATATTTCTGAAGTTAATGCATAGTATTTGTGTTTGTATATTTTTCCTAAAATATATGATTGACTTTGTATGCATGTAATGCACAAGTAGTTTCAAATTACTATAAATTTGATTTCTGATGAAATTTTATTCTGGTCTCATTCAAATATATAAGGTTTGTCTATTATGAGATTAGTGAGCACCGACAGTAGTACAGTACTGTGCCCTATAGTAGCAATGATATGAAGTATATTAATATTAATAAACATCATATTGTTTTTTAAAATACTTTATTATTAAAGTTCAAGTTATCATCAAGTTATTATAAACATTGCATTTATTCTTAAATCTAATCTTACATGATAACTTATATAATATACGAACTATTTACGACCTATTTACAATAATTATTATTAACTTATCACTAAGGACATGGCTTGAATGTCTGAATTTACATTATCATGAACGTAACATGAACATGAACTTGAAAACCGATCACCGATAGATGAGAGAGGGAAAAGAGTATGATGTGAGTTCATGAATTTCATGCAACGAAATTTACTGCGTTTTTTCAGCTTGTCACGCATATTCAATGTTATGTTTATGTTAACCTTTTCATGCTGTGTGAATACTTTTAAATTCGTTTACTCCTATCAATGTAAGATATGATGGGACCGTAGCTTGTGATTAAAAGGGTTCCTACCTCCTCTTATATACATTTATACCTTATCACGAAAAGCAATTACAATATTAAAACATATTTTAATCAGTAATTTAATTAATTCAAACGAAGGAAAGGTTTTTATATTGATGCAAGATATATATTTTAAAACGATGTAAATGTTTAACTGAATTCTGACTACGCACCGTGTTAAAATACCTCCAAAAGAAAATAAAAACAAAGGTAAACAAATATTGCACTTTTTTCTTTATCTAAAAATGCATACATTTTATATCAAATTTACAAACAAAAGCAAAAATAGAGAACAAACACAAAGCGTTCCTCTTGATCGGCCTAATGTTTTTGGAGACAAATTTTTCAAAAGCTCAGTTGAGAAGTCCTCTTGTATTTAGTGTTCTTGGTTATAATTAATGTCCAGCTTGTATGCTTATGATTGATTATGAAAACTTTACAGTGTAAGCTCCAACCAATTTTCACAGTTTTTACTGGCTAAGCTTTTAAGATTCCAACTTTCTAAATTTTATAAATTTTGGTAAGTTTTGTATCTTTACGTAGTAAATTTCAAATTTGCTTATAATTTGTCAAAATATGATTTTGAGTTCTTAAAAAATAAATATCAGTTGAACAGAAATTTTTAATATATATATCTACGTGTAAATAATCTTTTAGTATCCTTCAACAATATTGTATGAGCCAGTTCGAAAGAAAGAACCATCAATAAAATATGAGTCAGAACGTGATACTTGCATATCTTGTTTTACCAACTGGGATGAATCCAACCAAGTGGATTTTGTACAACAACTAATATCTCGAATGTGTCATTATCAACATGGCCATATAAATGCCTTCTTGAAGCCTATGCTTCAGAGAGATTTTATAACATTGCTACCAAGTAAGTTATATATATATGCTGTTTAAATTGCATGAATTATCAAAATAATCTTGTCAAATTTTTTGATATATAAAATAATGATATTTAATTGAAAAATTAACAGAAAAGGGTCTTGATCATATTGCTGAAACTATTTTGTCCTTTTTGGACTCAGATTCATTAAAAGCAGCGGAACTTGTTTGTAAGGAATGGTTACGTGTTATATCAGAAGGAATGTTATGGAAAAAACTTATCGAACGCAAAGTACGAACGGATTCCTTATGGCGTGGGTTAGCTGAACGTCGTGGTTGGATACAGTATTTATTTAAACCGCGTCCCGGTTCAACACATCGCCCACACTCTTTTTATCGTGAATTATTTCCTAAAATAATGAATGTACGTTTATGATCAATTAAATATTCTGAAAATTAAAACGTTTATTTGTTGCGTTTTATTTACAAACTTCTTATTTACAGGACATTGAAAGCATTGAAAATAATTGGCGAACTGGACGGCACATGCTACGAAGAATTAATTGCCGCTCAGAAAATTCAAAAGGAGTTTATTGTTTACAATATGATGACATCAAAATTGTTTCTGGATTACGCGATAACACAATAAAAATATGGGATCGCGCGGATTTACAATGTGTAAAGGTATATAAGATTTAAATAAAACTTTTGGTTGGTATTATTTGATCTAATTAATACAAAGATTTTTATTATTTTAACGAAAAAAATCTAATGTTAATATTAGACTCTTACTGGTCATACCGGCTCTGTATTATGTCTGCAATATGATGATAAAGTAATCATAAGTGGATCATCTGATTCTACGGTACGCGTCTGGGATGTTAATACTGGTGAAATGGTAAACACACTTATTCACCATTGTGAAGCAGTATTACATTTACGGTTTAACAATGGTATGATGGTTACTTGCTCCAAGGATCGTTCAATCGCAGTTTGGGACATGACATCACCAAGTGAAATAACACTTCGCCGTGTACTTGTTGGTCATCGAGCTGCTGTCAATGTAGTCGACTTTGATGAAAAATATATTGTATCTGCTAGTGGTGATCGTACTATTAAGGTATGGTCAACTTCAAGTTGCGAATTCGTACGAACATTAAATGGTCATAAACGTGGTATCGCATGTTTACAATATCGTGATCGTCTAGTTGTAAGCGGAAGTTCAGATAATTCTATAAGGTAATTAATAGAATAAATAACTTGTTGAAAAATTAAATAAACTTTGTTTAGATTATGGGATATAGAATGTGGAGCTTGCTTACGAGTTCTTGAAGGCCATGAAGAATTAGTGAGATGCATACGTTTTGACTCGAAGCGTATCGTAAGTGGCGCTTATGATGGAAAAATTAAAGTTTGGGATTTAGTCGCTGCACTTGACCCACGTGCCCAGTCTAATTCACTTTGCTTGAATACTTTAGTTGTAAGTGTAACTTTATAGTTATATTTTAACTATTGACTTTGCTTTATTGTATGTTTTTGTTCAACACAACCATAAAAATGTAATAACATTTATGCATGCGTGTTTAGACGGTAAGAAGCTCAAAACAACTATTTATTGGTGCAATGGTTTTCGGTATTGTCTGTACACACATAAAGTGGACAATATAATTATAATGTTCTATAAATCATATATATACACACATGTTTCATATATAATTAAAAAGCCAACTTTTCTTAGGAACATACTGGTCGTGTTTTTCGTCTTCAATTTGATGAATTTCAAATTGTTAGTAGTTCACATGATGACACAATTTTAATTTGGGATTTTTTAAATTTCACACCACATGACAACAATACATGCCGAACACCGTCACGTAAGAATAAATTTTATATTTTATATATATTCAATTTTTGAAATATTAAATGTTTAATTATATAGCTGCTTTAATGGAACACTAATTTATTTTACTCTTTCAACTTTATTGTTACTGGATGAACACCATGCCAATGTATTATTTGATTGAACGAAGAAATTTTTTTTATAAAAAATTAATTAATCAACTATCTATATGTGCAGAAGAGATCTCCAAAAACTTTTAAATTTATAAAAAAAAATAATATAAGGGTGATATGTTTCCGTTTGTTTTAATGTTTAGAATAAAATAGAAATTAAAATATCAAAATTTATACATTTTTATTAAATATTGCAGTTTTGAAATGTTAAAAATTCAGGAAGTTGCATTCAACTTTAAAATACCTATAACGATATGTATAAATTTATAAGATGAATATAATTTTTATGTGTTTTTTTTATTTTTGTACACTTCACAACAACACTGGATTTATAAATTCATTGTTAAATGGGAATAATAAACATTGATTTCATACAATTATATTAATGCTTATTAATCTATTTTAAATTATAAAGAGATTTACTAGTAATTGGTATAGTTCAAAGTTTAAATCGAATTTAGTATATAACGAAGTAACTTTCAGAAAAAGCACTTACAATGTTTCTCCCAAACACGGAAATGTCTCAAGTAAAAACCGCTTTTTAAAAATATTTGTGTTAACTCTTTAGTTTCTAAGGATGCCTTAATAGTCAAGAAATTTTCGATATGTACAGTGACAAACACTGTTATTGCCATTTGTTAAACTTTTGACACTGTTTTTGACCCATTGATAAATCTATTTTTAATTATAAAAAATTATTATAAATTGGATGTTTGATTTGCAACTAAATTCATTTTAATTCATTAAGGCCTATTCTGAATACTCCCAGTGAACAAAATTCCCTATTCCCACGCTGTTCCCAAACACACAACTCCCTTATTCTGAATTGCTTGGGAGACAGCAGTTTTGGGAACAACAACAGTTTCAAATTTGTTTTGTTAAATTTTGGCAACCATGCCACTTTTTAATGACGAAAAGTGCGAAAATGAGCTAAACAAAAAAAAGAATTGCGTATCATATGTTGATTTAAATGTAAAAATCGAATTATTTGTTTGCTGCACAAATTATCGAAAATAAATATAAGTTATTTTATGAGTAAATAATAAATAATAAAAAACTTTTATTTTAATGAGTGAAATAAATATATAAAAAGAATTGTGCATGAGCAAAATAAACAAGAATTGTGCAGTTTTTTAATGTTTATTTAAATAACAAATTTTAAGAAAGTTTTTAAAAATGCATTAGATTGCATTTCGAGTTTTAGCAGAGGACTTGGCTCAAAAACAGGAGCAAGAAATTTTGCAAAAGAGGATCAATCGCAGAAACTTGCGAGACGCTGCAAGTTTCTTGTTTAGACGCTGCCTAATTTCTTGTAAGTACAAATGTAAATTTAATTTGGTTTTAAAATAAACGTTTTCTTCATTATAGATTTCAAAAATATTACAGAGTAAATAAACCAGCATTTATTTACCTGTTAGAGGAACTTACTGAGGAACTACAACCAGCAAAGAAGCAGTTTGCAGTTGTTCCAATTATGAAATTGAGCGGTTGTTTGCGTTTCTTTGCTGAAGGAGCTTATCAGACAGGTGTTGGAAAATACCACGATGTCGATCTAGCTCAGCCTATCTTCAGTAAATTGCTTTCAGAAGTTCTCAAACATTCACTGCTTTTATACAAAATTTGCGTAAATTATAATTTACTTTTTTATATAATTAGGATAGAAATTTACTTCATGCTTCAATTAATGAACTAATAATAGTTTATACCTGTGCAGATCTTACAATAAAAAAGAAGCAATGTTTTACCTACACATAATTGCAAGAGTTTATTTTAACTTATTTTAGGAATCCCATTCATTTCAGAATTTGGTTTCCTTTCATTTTTCTATTATTTTAAAAACAATAGTTAACACTTTAATTAGTGAAAAAAACCCGTGTGAATAAAATAAATAAATAAAAATTTAAATATTTCAAATTTGTTATACTTTTATTAAAATAATAATTTTAATAAAATACATTAAATGAAAATTTTGTTATATTAAATTTATTAAAATAATTTTAATAACATATATGCGGAAAATTAATCAACTCTTGTGGATAAAATAAAAAAATAAAACTTTGAAAATATTAAATTTATTGTAATAATTTTATTATAATAATAATTTTATTAAAATATATTCAAAAATTTGATCATTTTCAGTTACTTTTATATTAAATTAAACCATTTTTAATACTTTTTTAACTTGTGTCTCCAACAATTTGGTAGGGAAAGAATTTGTGCAAAATTGGAAAAAAACTCCCATTCCCATGCGATTCAGAATAACAAAATTGGGAACAGGGAACAAAACTCACATTCCCAAATTATTCAGAATAGCAAACTTAGGAACAGGGAACAAACTGCCATTCCCATGCTATTCAAAATAGGCCTGATTATGTCTTACATTCAATTTCATAGAATTAAAAATCCAAAAATAGAGACTAAATTTTGCAGAAAAAGATTATTTGTTGCAATGAACTAATTTTATCTTAATAATCCTAGAAAAGATGATGGTTCAGATTCCTTTTAGCTGCAATAGTATTTATTAATTCTATACAAAGTTTTATATGAAATATTTTATTCTTTTATTTATAACCAAAATAAAATTATTAACGGGCTGAATGCTCAATTTAAATAGAAATAAAAAACTGTAATTTATTATTTATATTTAAATACAGTTTACATTTTATTAATATATTTTTCCAATATTTCTGCTATCCTTGATAGTCATCTTCAGTGAAACTAAACAATTAAACAATGTTTAGTTTTATAGCGGAAAATTACAAAAAAAAGTCATACAACGAATACAATAATAATAATGACAAGAAGAAAAACAACAAAAATATTTTGAATATATTTTATTAAAATTATTATAATAAATTTAATATTCTCAAAGTTTTATTTTTTTATTTTATCCACAAGGGTTGATTAGTTTTTCGAATATATTTTAATAAAATTATTATAATAAATTTAATATATCTAAATTTTTATTTAATAATATATTTTATTAAAATTATTATTTTAATAAAAGTATTATAACAAATTTAATATATTTAAATTTTTAAATATTTATTTTATCCACTGGGACTTTTTTCCACAAATTAAAGCATTGACTATTGTTATTTAAAACAATATATACAGGCCTATTCTGAATCGCATGGGAATGGGAGTTTGTTCCCTGTTCCCAAGTTTGCTATTCTGAATAAATTGGGAATGGGAGTTTTGTTCCCTGTTCCCAATTTTGCTATTCTGAATCGAATGGGAATGATAGTTTTTTTCCCAATTTTGCACAAATGCTTTCCCTACCAAATTGTTGGGGACACCAGTTAAAAAAGTATTAAAAATGGTTTAATTTAATATAAAAGTAACTGAAAATGATTTTTAAATATATTTTAATAAAATTATTATTTGTATAAAGTATTAGTGTTGCTGTAAAGCTAGACTTACTTTGACAAAAAAGCTTTATTAAAATTTAGAGGGGTTTTCGAATAACAAAGAAAAGGACAAACACAAAAATTTATTTTTAATTTTATTGAAGTTTGGCTGACCATACAACGCTGTTTCGAGTATTGCCAAGTACTCTTCATCAGTGGTCTTTGGGAATAATCGAATTTTATTTAATTAGTTTATAGTCCGTATATAATTTGTTTGGACTGCAAGTGCCAGGCTTAGAACTCGTGGCAATACTCGAAACAGCGTTGTATGGTCAGCCAAACTTCAATAAAATTAAAAATAAATTTTTGTGTTTGTCCTTTATTTCTTTCTTTGTTATTCGAAAACCCCTCTAAAATTATTATTATAATAAAATTATTACAATAAATTTAATATTTTCAAAGTTTTATTTTTCTATTAGTTTTCCGAATATATTTTAATAAAATTATTTTAATAAATTTAATAGAACAGAATTTTCATTTAATATATTTTATTAAAATTATTATTTTAATAAAAGTATAACAAATTTGAAATATTTAAATTTTTATTTATTTATTTTATTCACACGGGTTTTTTCCACTAATTAAAGTGTTAACTATTGTTTTTAAAACAATAGAAAAATGAAAGGAAACCAAATTCTGAAATGAATGAGATTCCTAGAATAAGTTAAAATAAACTTTTGCAATTATGTGCAGGTAAAACATTGCTTCTTTTTTATTGTAACATTTGCACAATCATAAACTAATATTAGTTCATTAATTGAAGCATGAAGAACATTTCTATCCTAATTATATAAAAAAATTAAAAAATTTACGCAAATTTTGTATAAAAGCAGTGTATGTTTGAAAATAAAGACTTTGAAAAATTGATATCATAACGTAAAGTTTTGTTTTAATTAGTTAAAAATTTAGAAAAGAGTTAAATTTAACATTTAAGTAACCAATAATAATAAATTTTTCGAATATATTTTAATATGATATTTAATGTCTGATGTCTGTTAAGCTCCTTCAGCAAAGAAATGCAAACAACCGCTCAATTTCATAATTGGAGCAACTGCAAACTGCTTCTTTGCTGGTTGTAGTTCCTCAGTAAGTTCCTCTAACAGGTAAATAAATGCTGGTTTATTTACTCTGTAATATTTTTGAAATCTATAATGAAGAAAACGTTTATTTTAAAACCAAATTAAATTTACATTTGTACTTACAAGAAATTAGGCAGCGTCTAAACAAGAAACTTGCAGCGTCTCGCAAGTTTCTGCGATTGATCCTCTTTTGCAAAATTTCTTGCTCCTGTTTTTGAGCCAAGTCCTCTGCTAAAACTCGAAATGCAATTTAATGCATTTTTAAAAACTTTCTTAAAATTTGTTATTTAAATAAACATTAACAACTGCACAATTCTTGTTTATTTTGCTCATGCACAATTCTTTTTATATATTTATTTCACTCATTAAAATAAAAGTTTTTTATTATTTATTATTTACTCATAAAATAACTTATATTTATTTTCGATAATTTGTGCAGCAAACAAATAATTCGATTTTTACATTTAAATCAACATATGATACGCAATTCTTTTTTTTGTTTAGCTCATTTTCGCACTTTTCGTCATTAAAAAGTGGCATGGTTGCCAAAATTTAACAAAACAAATTTGAAACTGTTGTTCCCAAAACTGCTGTCTCCCAAGGAATTCAGAATAAGGGAGTTGTGTGTTTGGGAACAGCGTGGGAATAGGGAGTTTTGTTATACCTGATTAACTTATTTAAGGAATCCCATTCATTTCAGAATTTGGGTTTCTTTCATTATCTATTGTTTTAAATAACAATAGTCAATGTTTAAATTTGTGAAAAAAAGTCCTAGTGGATAAAATAAATATTTAAAAATTTAAATATATTGAATTTGTTATAATACTTTTATTAAAATAATAATTTTAATAAAATATATTATTAAATAAAAATTTAGATATATTAAATTTATTATAATAATTTTATTAAAATATATTCGAAAAACTAATCAACTCTTGTGGATAAATAAAAAAATAAAACTTTGAGAATATTAAATTTATTGCAATAATTTTATTATAATAATAATTTTATTAAAATATATTTAAAAATCTGATCATTTTCAGTTACTTTTAAATTAAATTAAACCATTTTTAACTTGTCTCTCCAACAATTTGGTAGGGAAAGAATTTGTGCAAAATTGGGAAAAAAACTCCCATTCCCATGCGATTCAGGATAGCAAAATTGGGAACAGTGAACAAAACTCCCTATTCCCACTCTGTTCCCAAAAATGCAACTCCCTTATTTTGAATTGCTTGGGAGACAGCAGTTTTGGGAACAACAACAGTTTCAAATTTGTTTTGTTAAATTTTGGCAACCATGCCTTGTAACGACACTTTTGGTGACGTTCAAAAATTTTTAGTTTTTGCTGGGGTATCCTCAGCCGTCGTCCAGAGTCGTGACAATATATTTATAATTTTGCCGAGACGTTGGTTTTAGAAGAAAACAGAACGTGATTTATATGTATAAATTATATATAAAACTTTATTTATTTCATAAAACTTATGATTAACAAAGTTTAATTCAAATTCATTGGAAACATTTCTAATAATAAATAAAAAAATTATGTTGATGCCAAAATTTCCCACTTCTCCATATACTACTTGTTAAAAGAATCTTAGCAAAACCCGTGTGACTTCTTAAGCCCCTCTTCTGTTATAAAAAAAATAAACAAAACGTTTCCTCCGTGCTGTAAAAAACTATTTGACCGAATAAGCCAGGTTAAAAAAAATATACATATAAGACAGGAAAGGAATTTTACACTACGTTTGACTCAAAGAACCAGATTTGTGGCACAATGTGCCAGATGACCAATAGGCCAGTGTACTTGTTTCAGGAAAAGTAAAATTTCAAGTTTGGTAAAATTTACCAGAAGGCCCAATGAGCCAGAGTACTTGCTCTTTCACTTGTCGCAAACCAAGTCCCCGATTATATAAAATGTGCCTCCTTTTATATTGAGCATACCGAAGCTTTTTGGTGTAGCGTACCGGTATTCTTTGCTGTACTTGACTTCGCCGTGAAGTTGAACTTTGTGTTCTACTGTTTTCTCACTTCTTCTGCTTCGCCGTGATTTTTAGTACTTTTACTACGCGCCGTGTTTCTTTCGTGTGTGTTTTGTTTTCCTTTAACTTATATTATATTATTAAAAAAATAAAGTGTATTAATACTGCAAAACAAGGTATTAAATATGCATATATATTCTGTGAATTTAATATTATCTAAATGTGAACAGAAAAGAAATATTAAAAGAAATAAAATTGATGTTGGCGTGCTTAGTTTTGTTTTGTTGTGTTTTGTTTACGCATATAAAAATAAAATTGGACAACCAAAAATGTTAAACTGTTTTGTGGTTTTTTTTGTTTTTCGTTTACGCAGATAAACTAAAATTGAACAACCACGAGTGTTAAATTGTTTTGTGTTTTGTTTTATTTATATATAATTGAAAAAAAAATAGACATTTGTTAAAATTTAAACATGTTTCGCCAATAATTGTTCATTTTTGTTGCGTTTATAAGTGTTCCATTCATAAAAGTTTTAACCAAACGTAAATTTTGTTTTTCGTATATTTTTAGAATTTGCACATTGCATGTAGCGATGCCCGCGGTGCATTGGCATCGAGAATCACAGGTAATGTCCATGATATTTCAAAATAAATATTTTAATTCAATTTTATATTTTCCAGTCAAGTCGCCTTCAGTTATTTTCAAGTGAGTTGTTAGATATATTATGTGTAGTGGTGGCGGTTATTTAACACACAGACTGTGTTTTTCTCTGCTTCTTGTTTTATGTAGCACAGAAATTTACTTTGTAAATTTGTGTCGTTACAGCCTGTAATCGGTTATTTAAATACCGAAAATATTTTATTGACTAATATTTCTATTCTATTCGTTACAATTACTTCATTATTTATTTATTTATATTATTTTTACCCGCAACGAGCTTGGTTTCACATTTGTGTGTCATTTCCGTTCTTTCTGTCTCCTCAGCTTCGTATCAACTGTCATTCACCTTGCGTTAATTTGTATAGTTTGCATTTTTTGTTAAGAGGTTGTTGAAGCTTAAGTAAACTCTTTTCCTCAGAAACAATCCTCCTGTACCAGTTGCATTATAAATTTTTCGGCTTCATTTATTTCACTTGGTAATAACGGTGGCAACGACTGCAAATTATTACACTCTTCCATAAATAGTGGATCTCGTTTTCTACGGAATATTTGAACAGCTCTTAGGAACCAGGCAACAGAACGTTTAAGTCTAAAAAATGAACTGAAACGGGTAAATTCTATCAATGTTTCACTGGCCTGATATTGTAGTAATATCGGTGTCGTAATCTCTTCTTCTGGCATGTCAGTATAAAACGAAAATGTAGCATTTGGCCAGCTATTTTGTTCTTGACGTAAAAAGGTTGGCCCTTTTAACCAAATGTTGCCATTGTTTATTTTAGGCACCTCTTTGGCTCTTGTTGCAGCGTTAGAAGGGTTCATCTTAGTTGGCACCCATCTCCATTGGTCTTCTTTCGTTGAGGTCAATATTTCAGCTATACGATGCCCAACAAATGGTTTGAATCGGCGATTTCTTGAATTTACCCAACAAAGAACGGTTATAGAATCAGTCCAAAATACTATACGGCTTATGTTTATGTCATGTCTGTCCACCACCAGCTTTGATAATCGAGTAGCCAAGACTGCAGCCTGCAGTTCCAACCTTGGCATGGATAGGAGTTTCTTAGGCGCTGTGCGAGTCTTACCACAGACAAAAACTACATCAACTGCATATTGATGTTTAATTCGCAGATACACTGCTGCAGCAAATGCAACTTAACTAGCATCCATAAATATATGGATTTGGATCTCTTTGGCAATGTTGAGATGCGGCGAATAGCATCTTGGTACAAAGAAATTGCCTATTCTGGCAAATTCGTCCCACCACCGAAACCATTTTTGAGATAACGTAGGTGGTAACAAGTCGTCCCAATTTAATTTGGTTTTCCAGCTTTCTTGCAATAATACTTTGGCAATAAGTAAAAAGTTCGCTAAGATGCCGTATGGATCAAATATAGACATCACAATTCCTAAAAGTTCTGGCTTTGTTGGAACCCTTTTACCCTCGATAACTTCTTTAGCTATGCGATGAAATTTTGTTAAGAATTGATACGAATCATTTGTTACGTTCCAATACATTCTCAAGATTTTCTCAGTTTGGCTCTGCCGATTCAAACAGATGGCCTCTGCAGTTTCACCTGCATTCATGACAATCTGTAGATTTAACGAATTTGATGAAAAATTACGAAGTTAAAAGCCGGCGTTTGCATTAATTTGCACCACTTGCTGACAAATTAGTAGAGCGTGCTCTTCTGTATCGAAACTGGCAACGTAATCGTCTACGTAAAAGTTCTCATTGATGGCAGATACAGCTTCCGGATATTGGCTGCGATAACTTTCGGCATTATGGTTCTTAACAAATTCAGCGCAACAGTGCGAACATACTGCTCCGAATATCAGAGACGTCATGACATATTGTTCGATCGGTGACATTTCGCAAGCGTTTCTCCATAAGAATCTTTGGGCATTCTGGTCGGCTGGTCGTATTTTAACCTGAGAAAACATCTCTTTTATGTCTGCGGCAACAGCAATACGACCCTGACGTAGTTTAAAAAGTGTTCCTATTAATGGTTTAGCCTTTTCTGGTCCCTTCAACAGTGCTGAGTTGAGAGTTTGTTTATCAACAGTGGCGGCGGCATCGAAAACAATTCTCAGTTTGTCGGGCTTATGCGGGTTCTGCACAGAAATATGCGGCAAATACCACAACGGCTTTGTGATATCTTCAATTTCATCTTGTGTGAGTTTCCTGGCGTAACCTTTGGCGATGTATTTGTTAATTTCGGTCTTATATCGTTTTGCGAATTTGACATTATTTCTCATTTTAGCTTCGATTCCCTGCAAACGTTTGACAGCCATGGCGTAGCTATCAGGCAATATTGGTGAATTTTTTCTCCATAAAAGGCCAAGCTCATAACGATCATTGATACGGCGTGTTGTATCAGACAAGATTTTATGAGGTCTCAAATCACCGGCTGAGTCCAGCGGCGGTGTTGGATTTTCAATTCCAAAATTTTCACAATTAAAATATTCGGCAACAATACGATCAAGACATTTAAATGATGGTTCCGCTCGGGCAAATAACATTGGCGAATGGATGCTTGAACCGGTTGGACCATATGCCACCCATCCAAGTTTAGTTCGAATAGCCACTGGATTAGATGCACCGGCGGTCACTGATGCAGAAGATGCATTTATGTTGGCACAATTTAGGCCCAGCAGCATTAAAGGGCGAACATCATCATAGTCTTCAATCGGTAAACAATCAAGATGCCCATAATCTGATTTTTTAAACGATTGTGTTGGCAGTCTTAGATTGGAAATTACGTAACCGTTTTTAATCTCATATTGTTCGCCAGCTTCACCCTTTATGTTGACATTTACCACTGTTGAGTTTTGAGTCACCTTCTCTTCATCATACCACTGCATCGTTAAATGTTGTTTCTTGCCTTTAAGGCCTAACTGACTTGCAATTTTGGCATCTAATATAGTGATGGACGACCCTTCATCCACAAGTGCGAAAATCTTCAGTTGTCCCTTTGGACCCATAATTTTTATCGGAACCAATTTAAAAAGAAAACCGGAATATGGCTTGGCACAACTCAAAACCTGTTGAACTGATCCAGACGTAGGCGGCACTTGTTGGGACTCATGTAGCAATCTATTATGATTTTACGGCAACCGTTTATACCGCAGGATCTTTTCATTCGGCACTGTATGACATTGTGTCCTTTCCTCAAACATGAAAAACACAAACGAAGCTGCTTCACCTTTACCCAACGCTACTGAACATTTTTACTCAAAAACGCTTCACATGTAACTATCAGATGTTGGCCTGCACATTCAAAACACTTAACTTCTAGGTGATTTTCTTGTTCCATCTCATGGTTTTGTGCATACATAACTCGGCGCGTATAATTTTGAGTAGCTGGCATTGTAATTTTAGGCTTTTCGGTTTTTGATTGATACAATGGCTGTGGCAAAAGGCAAATTATTTTCGCTATCTCACTCAACCAAACACTAAATTGTTTTATTGTGGAATATTCCTTCAGAGTTACAGCGTGACGCGCCCACTCGAATTGTTTACTAGGCGGCAGCTTATACACTAGTTGTTCTAATAATATTGGGTTGTTCAAGTGTTGCTCACACTTGGCTGATGACAAAAAGGCTACAACATTTCGCACAAGCGAGGATAAGGCAATTAAACTGTCAACGTTCCTCTCGGTCACTCTCTCGAACTGTTGAATCTTGTCCAACTGGGACCGTATTAGTAAATCTGGGCGGCCAAAACGAAATTCAAGTTCTTCCATAACTGCAAGCACATTTGATGGGTATATTAACAGTGACTGAACGACATCCTTGGCTTCATCCATTAGGCATTTCTGTAGGCGCATTAAATTATGTCTGTTGGTATACTTAAACGTTTTGGTGGTGTCCTCAAAACTAGCACGAAAAAGTGGCCACTGTTCGGCGTTACCGTTGAATTTTGGCAAATCATAAAGTCGGATGCCTTCGCCTCCTGAACATACAACTTCAGCAGTGCACCGTTCGTCTTCATCTTGATCTTTCTTACCTATTTCATCTTTCTTTTCGTGCGTTACCGACTTATCGTTGGCAAGTTGTCCACGCAAATTACTTATGTCTTCCCGATTCGAAACTGTTTCAGCTCGAACTTCATTCACTGTTTGTTGTAGAGCTTGTATGACTTTTAACGTATCTTGCATTGATGCCTGCTCTTGACATCTTGACGACACTGGAGTCTCACATGGCGATTTATTATTTCTGCGACTCATCTTTAATTTACTCATTTTGTCTTTTCCCGCATTTTTCCAGGCGTCATACATAAATGAATGTTATTTTAACGGAAAGAAATGTGAAAACATGTAATCGGTTATTTAAATACCGAAAATATTTTATTGACAAATATTTTTATTCTATTCGTTACAATTACTTCATTATTCATTTATTTATATTATTTTTACCCGCAACGAGCTTGATTTCACATTTGCGTGTCATTTCCGTTCTTTCTGTCTCCTCTGCTTCGTATCAACTGTCATTCACCTTTCATGCTGCCTCGCAGGGCTGCATTCAGCTCAATATTACTGAGTTGCTTTTTTACTGTTACAATGCCACTTTTTAATGACGAAAAGTGCGAAAATGAGCAAAACAAAGAAAAAAATTGCGTATCATATGTTGATTTAAATGTAAAAATCGAATTATTTGTTTGCTGCACAAATTATCGGAAACAAATATAAGTTATTTTATGAGTAAATAAAAAATAATAAAAAAATAAATAATAAAAAACATTTATTTTAATGAGTAAAATAAATATATAAAAAGAATTGTGCATGAGCAAAATAAACAAGAATTGTGCAGTTGTTAATGTTTATTTAAATAAAAAATTTTAAAAAAGATTTCAAAAATACATTTAATTGCATTTCGAGTTTTAGCGGGGGATTTAGCTCAAGAACAGGAGCAAGAAATTTTGCAACAGAGGATCAATCGCAGAAACTTGTGAGACGCTGCAAGTTTCTTGTTTAGACGCTGCCTAATTTCTTGTAAGTACAAATGTAAATTTAATTTGGTTTTAAAATAAACGTTTTTTTTCAATATAGATTTCAAAAATATTACAGAGTAAATAAACCAGCAATTATTTACCTGTTAGAGGAACTTACTGAGGAACTACAACCAGCAAAGAAGCAGTTTGCAGTTGCTGCAATTGTGAAATTAAGCGATTGTTTGCGTTTTTTTGCTGAAGGAGCTTATCAGACAGGTGTTGGAAAAGACCATAATGTCGCCTTATAGAAACCGCGAGCAACATCTGGATTAGTTTTCATTAACTACAGCAGGATTTTCAATTGCATTTTATTCGCAATTTTAGCCCTGTGTAAATAGCACAATTAAATACATTCGCAAAATTAATTATTATTGGTTACTTACATGTTAAATTTAACTCTTTTCTAAATTTTTAATTCTTTTTTTATTAATTAATAAACAACCTTACGTTATGATATCAATTCTTCAATGTCTTTATTTTCAAACATTCACTGCTTTTATACAAAATTTGCGTAAATTATAATTTAATTTTTTTATATAATTAGGATAGAAATGTTTTTCATGCTTCAGTTAATGAACTAATAATAGTTTATAATTGTGCAGATCTTACAATAAAAAAGAAGCAATGTTTTACCTGCACATAATTGCAAAAGTTTATTTTAACTTATTCTACGAATCCCATTCATTACAGAATTTACACTTTAATTAGTGAAAAAAACCCGTGTGAATAAAATAAATAAATGAAAATTTAAATATTTGAAATTTGTTATACTTTTATTAAAATAATAATTTTAATAAAATATATTAAATGAAAATTTTGTTCTATTAAATTTATTAAAATAATTTTATTAAAATATATTCGGAAAACTAATCAACTCTTGTGGATAAAATAAAAAAATAAAACTTTGAAAATATTAAATTTATTGTAATAATTTTATTATAATAATAATTTTATTAAAATATATTCAAAAATCTGATCATTTTCAGTTACTTTCATATTAAATTAAACCATTTTTAATACTTTTTTAACTTGTCTCTCCAACAATTTGCTTGGGAAAGAATTTGTGCAAAATTGGGAAAAAACAACCATTCCCATGCGATTCAGAATAGCAAAATTGGGAACTGGGAACAAAACTCCCATTTCCAAATTATTCAGAATAGCAAACTTGGGAACAGGGAACAAACTCCCATTCCCATGCGATTCAGAATAGGGGTGCCTGTGTCATTTGGTTATAATATGCCTATAAGCCTGAGCGCAGTTGTCTGTATCCGTTTTATAATTTAGTCTTTTATTATTCGAAACTTTAAGTATTGAAAACATTTCCGGAAAGTACCTTTTATTTTAGTTTCTTTCTTCATGTAAGATCTTTGCATTATCAAGATCAGGCTCATGTTTGCAGCCTTTGATTGTAACACTGAGGTATTAGTCGTACGTTGAAAAGGCAATGCACTGGTTACAGTTCTTACTAACCATAAAAAAATAAATCCATAAAAAAAAACATAAACGTTATGATCGCTCTAAAAAGATACATACCACAATCAAATTTTTTAATGCGATAGCGAAATAAAACCAGCATATGGGTGGCGTAGATTTGCACGATAACGCTTTACCCAATTATCAAGTATCCGTGCAACAAAAAAATCATGGTTGCCTTTATTTATAAATTAATTTGGTATTATGTTGGTGAATGCTTGGAAACTGCATGTTATGGTTTCAGCTCATGAAGAGCAAAAGCCATTTTCATATTTTAATAATATTAACAATAATGTCCATTGCTCCGAAAAAGTATAAGGTGGTCCTCGATGATGTGTTGTGTGTCATACTTACACTCTATTTGAATGTAGAAAATGTTTACATTAATATTTATAACATATTGGTTAGAACTATGTATTTTTTCGAAATCTATTAAAATTCTAAATAAAACACATTTCGATAAATAAACAATATCATTTGTTAATAATTTCTACAAAATTAGATTATTAACAAATATTAACAAGCATTAAACTTAATTGAGAAAATTTTTATTTTTACAAAAAATCACTATACGTATTGGCCCATTGGTGAGTAAACTTACCATCCCATATATCAGGAACGGTTGGTTCCATTTTGATGAAGTTTGAAATTAATCTTAATGTGTGCAAAAAACAACAATGTTCAAATTTTCATTAAAATACCGAGCCGTAAATGGTAAATACATTCCAAAAAAAATTACTTAATCTTATACCAGGTGTACCGGTATGAAGTGAGCGTAAAGATACAAATGTTCCGACAGGGAACATTTGTTGTGAACGAGCCTTTATTTTTTTTGTTTGTTTGCTATGATATGTGTGAAATATGTTTAGTATACATCAAGTCATTGAACAGACAACATCATATTTTTTCATCGTGTTAAAAATGTCGAATTTTGTACCAGAAAGTGATGGTTTGCGGAAAGCATTAATTTTTTGTTTTCATTTGAAGAAAAGTGGTGCAGAGTCGCATCGAATGCTTGTCGAGACATATGGTGATCATGCTCTATCAGAAGCAACATGCAAAAGATGGTTTCAACGGTTCAGAAATAATGATTTTGATGTGAGAAATGAAGAACGTGGAAGACCGCCAAAAAAGTTTGAAGACGCCGAATTGCAAACGATATTGGATGGAGATAACACTTTGGGTCAAAAGCAAATGGCAGAAATGTTAAATGTTGCACAACAAACAATTTCTGACCGTTTAAAAGCTATGGGAAAGATCCAAAAGTGTGGAAAATGGGTGCCACATGAATTGAATGAAAACCGAAAAAACACTTGTGAAATTTTGCTTCAAAGACACGAAAGAAAATCGGTTTTGCATCGGATTGTTACTGGCGGTGAAAAATGGATTCATTCTAAGAATCCTAAACGGAAAAAATCATGGGTTAATCCGGGACAACCATCAACATCGACTCCAAAACCAGATCGATTCGGCAAGAAGACAATGCTGTGTGTTTGGTGGGACCAGAAAGGTGTGGTGTACCACGAGCTCCTAAAACCTGGTGAAACCGTCAATGCTGGTCGCTATGAACAACAAATGATAAATTTGAACCATGCATAGATCGAGAAACGACCAGAATGGGCCAGAAGACACGGCAAGGTAATTCCGCTCCATGACAATGCACCTGCACACAAAGCAAAACGGGTTCAGGATGCAATCAAAACACTTGGCTGGGAGCTGCTACCCCACCCGCTGTATTCACCAGACCTGGCTCCTTCCGACTACAATTTGTTTTCATCGATGGGACACGCATTGGCTGAGCAGCACTTTCATTCCTACGAGGAGGTCGAAAATTGGGTGTCTGGTTGGTTTGCTTTAAAAGACGAACAATTTTTTTGGCGTGGTATCCACAAATTGCCAGAAAGGTGGTCAAAATATGTAGAAAGCAATGGCCAATACTTTGAATAAAATGTTTTCTACTTTCCTATTAATAATTAGTGTTTTATTTTCACCAAAAAACTCATCACAGAAACACGTTCTTCTCAAACAAAATAATAAAAATATCACAGAAACAGAAAATATAATTCAAAGCATATTCTGCTAAAATGATTATAAGAACTTTATTTATAGTGAACAAATTTTGTACAATAAATTAAAAAAAATAAAACTTCAAATATATTGGATCAAAAATTTGAAAAATTAAAGCTTAAATTAATAAAATCCCTACCTAAACATAAACAAAAACGGAAACTGGTTTTTAGACATAACTGATATGCAGTGGCTTCTCTCTCTCGGTTCCAATTCCTCCCTACCTCTTTCTGAAAAAAGCTTTCCACTGCTTAAGTACTTAACAGATGGAAAAGACTGCATAATTAGAAAATAAAGAAGAGCAAAAAATAGCGAGAACACAACTTATTTGAATGATTGAAAGGTATAAAAGGCAAATAACTCATTCTTCTATGAAAAAATACATATTCAAAAAAGATTTTATATAGAACCCCAGCGTACATTTTCAATCGCGGAAGAAGCGTTCGTGATGCTTTTGCCTGCTTTGTTTATCGCGGAAGCGTATTTAATTCAAACGCAGACGATTCTTCCGCGATACTTTTGTATGAGAGAGTTGTCCATCGTCTCGAATCGCTTAAACGAATAGCTTTCTGCTCCTCAAAACCATCGCAGAAGACGCGCAAATGATCGTAAAGCGCGATCGTTCTCAATAGTAAGTTTTTCTCTCAATAATTCTCAGCTTTTAGTACTCTAACTTATACACTGAAAAAAATTTTTTTTATATATTTTATAATTAATCTTTATTGTTTTTTTTTATTATTAATAAGAGAATAATTAAAAAAAGTAAAAAGTAAAGTAATAATATAAAAAAGTAAAGTTATAATATAACAAATTAAAGTAATAATATAAAAAAGTAAAGTAATAATATAACAAATTAAAGTCTCTTGCGATTTCAACTTTCGCTTCTTAATCCGGTTTTTTGCGTGTATAAAATGTGGTTGAAGCACTGAACTTATTTTAATGTCATTTACAGTTGGAAATTTAAGGAGACATATCTATAGAATGGGAAGTTATATATCAGAACATATATATCAACAGATTTAAATGATTAAAGATATTACTTTTTATTATTTTTTTGAAAGTATACGTTAGTATACTAGTCTTCTCCTTTATTCCTCTCCATGTGTAATTTGTTGCGAGCTCATCAGATAAGACTTTTTTAACACTTTGCCTTAAAAATACTGCCATTTTATCACCGCCCACTCTATTAATGAACTGCTTCTGAAAATATAAAAATAAAACAAACGAAAGAAATCAATATTAACTAAAATAAATATAGTTGATAATTTTTATTATAACTTACGAAGGCTTTTTTTCTGTCTTGTAATGAACCTAATTTTTCCTATCCGGGGTAGTTCTCAGCCTAGTCCAAGGTCTTACAAGAAAATTTATATTCGCGGGGACCCAAGCGTTCAACCAATATCGTTTCCACCGTTGAAGTAAGATGCCGTACAACAAATTAATTATTTTAGAATTCAAGTTTTTTTTTTCTTTATTGAACAATTTGTAATATATGTATAACAATAAATGTATTTTAAAGGAAAAACAAATTATCAAATAATATCTTTACAAATACTCGTAGATAATAATAAGCAAATAATATTTAACTGTTTTCAATTTAAGAAAAAAACAAAATTAATTAATCATATTTTAAGTTTAAAGTTTTATAAATGCAATTTCGTGTTCAACAAAATTTATAAAAATTCATAAAATATTATCAAATAAAAATATAAGGGAAGAAGAATTTCTATTAAGCGTAGTCGTGTGAAGATTACTTTGGTATTTTACTTAGAATTTTATGTAATATTTTTACATTCCTTAAATGTGGATTACGTAATTAAATTCTTAATGTTACACTTTATAATTAATTAAGATTATGTTTGCATATAACAGATTACATTTTTTTTTTTTACAAATATCTTGTTTTCAGTTGCTTAAGTTCAATTTTACAAAGATACATTTTTTTACATAGATTCTATTTCATAAGAACTAATAATTCATGAGCTTGTTGAGTTTAGAAAGTTTATACTCCTATGCGCTTAACTTAAAGCCTTTACGATTGTGACTGCATTGTTGTTACTTTTCTCATTTCCATTTAAATGAATAAAATTTGTAGATATTCAATTATACAATTTGGAATTTGTTAATTTTGAAGCGATTCGTTCGATTTAAATAAAATAACTTGTAATTTGCACTTATACATTGAAGTTACTTACGCGAAAACCTGCACTGCATTTTATAGATAAGTCTTACCCTTTCTGGTACATTAGGGCGTAATATCCCACTGCTTACAACGTCCAGCGATGAGTATAAAGAAACACCGATCAATTTATGCTTTGCCACGTATCGGGGAGAGAGACACCCAAGCTGCGCCACGTCTTTTGCTTGTGGTGTCAACACGTTTATACGTACGAACTAACACGAGTACAAAATCTTTTAATTGACCACTGTTAAAGCCGTCAATTATTTCTTTTGTACTGTGGCTATTAACAATATTATCCCGCTTCGCGCCGTGTCGATAAACTATTTCAATTTTTGTTCCTTTATATATTACAAAAAAAATTACACAATTTTAATAATTTTTTTTCAACTTGTTAATTTTATTATAATAATTTGTTACCGGGCTAATTGGTCAAATTTTAATATAAATAAAAAGACACTAATTTATTATTTATATTTAAAAATCGTTATATTTTATTTCCGATATTTCGACTATCTTCGATAGTCATCTTCAGGGAAAACTTGTTAATTTTATATTATAGTTAATAGTTTTAATTGTTATATAAAAAAAATCACTTAAGCGCTTTTTCTCTGTTTTATTAACACAAATCCGCAACTTGTAACAATATTTGAATCTTGTTAATTTTTTCCTTTATATTAAAATTGTAAAATCTTGTTACTATTTAAATCGTTAATTTTAATATTAAAATAGTTTTAATTGTTATATAAAAAAATCACTTAAGCGCTTTGTATCTGATCTATTAACACAAACCCGCTACTTGCAATGCAAAGAAAAAAACTTTTTATTTATTTAAAAAAAACCAGGTAATTAACGTCACGGGTACGATGCGTTGCGTTCAACATAAACACGAGTCAAGAGACAGAAACTCCTCCGCCTGCGCCTTTTATTCTCCTTTTTTCTAACTGCGTCGAGCGGACTTTTTCGCTAGCCGTTGTTCGGTCAATGTCCTCAACATTTCCCCTCATCAGGTATTCTGTTGTTTTCTTTCCAGGCTTCTGAAAGCTTTAAACTGCACTCACAGCTTTTTTTCCCTTTTATTATCCGCTGCAACATTTTTACGATCAACCGAAAATGTACAAAGCACATGACAATGACATTTCTTATTTTCTCTAATTTTGTTTTGATTATTTCTATTTTTACAATGTGGTTTTTTTTTTAAAGATAAATTACAATTTAATCAAATAATTATAATTATAATAAATATATTAATCAATTTAAATACAAAAAATTGTGTGTGGACTATAGTAAAATATGACTATCACTTCCAGTGCTGGAGTTCTGTTGTTGCGGGGTGGGCTGTTGCGATTTGGTATAGCATGTGGTGATGCTGTATAGCGAGAGGTTATTGCTTTGTTGGAACCAATTGTTAAATTCAATTTTTATGCAATTATAAGCAGAAGTTATAAGCAACAAACATGAAGATGTACTGGCAAAATATGGTGCTATATCAGCTCAAGGTATTCTGGATATTGGAGCTTTGTTGTTGGGCTGCGGAACCCACGATGTTGTAACAATTAAATTGCCAAAAATTTTAATCGTTACACTCCCTCCTTTCTTTACGAGAGGATATCAATGCGGATATCTCCATTTCTGGCGATACGAATCAGTCGAGTCTTGCCGTCCCATGTCGCCTTGAACCGATGACGCCTGCCTCTGGACCACTTCTTTAAATCATAGCCCTGCTTCTGTAGTATTCTCGCCGGGCTAAGGTCTTCATTCAGAAATTCAGCAGTGGTAACTTCATTATTATGCTTTGATGTGATTGCTTTCTCGTGGGCGTTTTGCTGTTGTAGAATGGCTTTAGCGGTTGGAGGAGTTGCTGGACAATCCCAGTTGTTTATGGTTTGTCTCATAGAGTGTTGTATATCTCGCTGTTCATGGAAATGGTTCATGTAATCATCTCTCGCTTCTGCATCACCTGACTTAAACGGCCAGCTTCGTTTGCGATAGTGCTTGTTGTCATTTTCGTGGCGGTTTAAAATGGTTTTGGCAATTGGAGGCGTTGGAGGGCAATCACTGCTATTCGTCACTCGAGGAGGTGTAAGAAGTATGTCCCACCAATCAGGAGGGGCCGTGATCTGCAGGATGTCTTCCAGACGACTCTCGTTCACCTCATCTGACAGCGAATTTTCAGAATGATGACAACTATAAAGATAAACAAGATTAAGTAAGTGGTACAAAATAATTTTAAATTAACAATGATACTGTTTAATTCGACTTAGGTGAGCCGAAATTATTTTATCGCCATGTAGTGCACGCAGCTTCACTATGACCGGTGATACAAAGTCTATTACTTCATAAGGTCCTGAATATTTCGGGGCTAATTTTGCATTAAAGCCGTCTAGTGCATTAGATAGTGGTTGTGAACGATTAAGTACCAGTGTGCCGAGTTCTGGTTTCCACTCCCGTCGTCGGAGGTTATAATATCTTGCCTGGTCTTGTGATGCTTTTCCCATGTTTCTGCTAGCAATAGCGTATATTTCAAGTAACTTTCGTGCTTTGTTATCTGGAGATTCTGTAGCTCTTCCAAGTCCTGGTGTCACTGCATCATATAATGTACTCGGCATTCGAAGCTCTCTACCTTGAGTAATATATGCCGGACTGAAACCTGTTGAAGACGAAATTGAGGAGTTTATCGCTAACGTGATTTCGGGTAAACACTCGTCCCAGTGTCGGTGGTCAACTATTGAGTTTTGCGCGATCATTGCTTTTATTGTGCGATTTGCACGTTCAGTCGGGTTCTCCTGAGGTGTATAAGGGGCTGTATGTTGATGTTGAATGCCCAATTCGACTAAGAATTTTGGAAGCAACTTGCTCGTAAATTGTGTTCCATTGTCTGTGACCAAGATCTTCGGAATCCCAAACCGCGCCATGATGTTTTCTCTGAAGGCTTTTTTAACACCGGCCGTCGTGGCGTTCCTCATTGGTATAATCTCCATCCATTTGGAGAACTTATCAAAAAATACCAACGCTACCGTATTTCCTTTAACTGAACGTGGTAAAGGCCCAATAAAATCTGCACATACTGTTACCCATGGCTCTTCTGGTAAACTCGTTAACATCTTTCCTGCACTAGGCTGTTGACTGACCTTGTATTTTTGACAGGTATCACACTTCCGTACATATTCTTTGATGTCGCGATACATTCCTGGCCAAAAATATCTCGATGTAACTCGAAGGATTGTTTTCTGATTACCTAAATGTCCTGCCGTGATATCATTACGACACTCTTTTAATACTTGAGGCCGAATGGATTGAGGTACACACAGTTTCCAGCAAGGATGTCCCTCGTTGCTATAAGAGTTGGGTATACGACGGTACAGCTGATTATTTTCGATAGTGTAGTCGGGGTATTTACTTGGATTATCGGTTAATGTTTTTCTCAAGTTCGTTAACCATAAACAAGACTGTTCATCTTCTTTCGTCGTATCCGGCATATTCAACAGGGCCAGTGTGGTTTGAGGTTGACGAGACAGTGCATCCGCGACGACATTATATTTTCCTTTTCTATATTGTACCTCAAAATTGAATTGTTGCAGCTCTAGCGCCCAGCGCGCGATACGACCAGTTGGATTTTCAATGTTGTTTAACCATTTCAGCGCCAGATGTCGGTTATGACTACGAAACGATAACCTTCTAAATATTGTTTCATTTTTCTCACTCCCCAAACAATCGCTAGACACTCCTTTTCAGTCGTCGAGTAGTTTTTTAAGCTGGATTTAAACTGCGACTTGCATAAGCTATCACCTTTTCTTCGCCGGCTATTTCTTGAGTCAGTATTGCTCCTAGTCCAAAATTACTGGCATCTGTCTGCAATACAAATTGTTCGGTGAAGTTGGGGCACGCTAGAATTGGAGCACTCGTTAATTTTTCTTTTAACATATCGAACGCCACCTGTTGGTCTGACGTCCATTGCCATCGTTTACCTTTCTTTAATAGCATCGTAAGGGGTTGTATTGTATTTGAAAAGTGTGGTACAAAACGGCGATACCACGAGGCGATTCCAATACACCGTCGTAGTTCCTTGAGGTCTTTTGGTACAGGTAACTCTTTTATGGCTGCAATCTTTTCGGGATCAGTGTGTATACCATGTGGTGTCACCAAATGCCCAAGATACTTTATTTCATTCATGAAAAATTTACATTTCTGTACGTTGATTTTTAGTTTTGCACACCTTAGTCGATGGAATACCTTTCGCAAATTTTCCATATGTTCCTCCAGTGTATGACCAATTATGA